GGTGCCACCTTAGTTGCAGGCTTACTTGCAGATGCTGCACCTCTCTTACTGATCTTTAACATGCACTTTTTTGGAAGGCCTTTATTGCAATAAGACAGTGGAGAGAAGACATGAAAGCTGAGAGCAGAACTCAGAGTAAAAGCTCAGGTTTCTGTATTAGCTTTATGACATATGCATCACCTGCTGAACCCAGTGAGCTAAACCACTGCTGTAAATGTGCGTTCTTATTGAGAGTATAATAACTCTAACTCTAAATAACTTAACCTCCAGTGTTGTTTTGATATTTGTCTCTGTATCTTGCATTTTTCTTTTTGGTAGATTATCAAAGAAAAGTAGCATTACCTCACTCTGTCACTATTTGTGAAGAAATTTCTGAAGTTCTGTTTTAGATCCATGAGGTTCAGGCTGGACTTTATTACTTTAGTCATCAGGCACAAAAGTTGCTTTAAAGATGGAATCTGACTGCATGAGGTTGCAGACCTGGTTGATGCCTGAAGAAACCATTTGAAAGGACTTTCAACTTTATTGTTTCCAAACACTACTTGACGTAATGTTTTCAGTGGGAGAAACATTTGGTCACTCATCCCAGAGGCTTCCTCAGTCCCAGCTGACTGCAGGTTTTCCAAACCTTACAGCTTGAAATGAAAATTTTTAGGGGTTTAATGCAGTGCTGTGAACCAAAATGTCACTTTGAATGTGTGTGTGAATGCATTAGTGGTAAAGCAGGTTATATACCAATCAGAAGGCTACAGTAGAGGTTACTACTAACTTCTGCCTCCATTAAATCTAAAGTGTCCTGTTTTTCATGCAGGCCTGGACATCTTCACTGTCAGAATTTGACCATTTTACTTTTGCTTCTTAAGCTGCTGCTTGGTGGGCATTTGGAGCCAGAACAAGCTAATGATATCAGACCTAACACACAGATAACAATCATCCTGTCACCTGAAGGCAACGTCTGTTTGACTGAGTGAAACCATAGAGTAGAAACAGTTATTATAATCTTTGGTTCAGTCTAACCACATTAAGGGGAGCGGGGCATCCACAGTGGTGCAAAGTCAAATGACACCATGTGATGCAGCCCCCTGGTTGTGTCTCAGTATGTTCATGCTCCTGCAGTGAGGATGGATGTTCACTTGTTTGCATCACGTTTCACAGTAAAGTTTCCAGCTGCTGTTGAGTCATTTCTGTGGCAGAACAGCTGACAAACACTTATCTGATATCCTTGTTACAGTCAATGTGTCAACAGAGCTGGTTCTCTGGAAACAATAGGAGGTGTTGTTGTTGCTGTTGTATGAAGCAGCTCATACGTGACTAAATGTCACCTTTGAAAAATGTCGCACTATAAATAGTTTCTGTTCTTCCTGCAGCTCGAGCTGAGGCTAAAAGGAAATGGTCTGATCGTCTCTAACTCGAGTGTGTGAAGAAGATGATCAACAATCAACATACCACTGGGATTAAAGCAATAGTCTTACACTGAGCAGCAATGATGTTCGATTTTGTATGAATCTGAAATTATATAAACTGAACAGAAAACTGTCTCATTTTTGCATTTGATGAGTTTTATGTTTAAGGGACAAAATGAATGTCACAACATTAATAAGAAGCACTCTGAGAGTGCAAACCTTCACCAGTGCCGCTCACGCTCCAGGCTGCATTTGCTTTATATAGGATTGTATATACAAACTAGTATATTGTTTTTTATAAACCTGCTATAAGGGATTTGTCAAATACTTCTTTAATTTATATTATGTGCTGTGGTTTAATGTATCATTTTATGTGTCAGTGTCTGTCTGTATTACTGCTGTTCTAAATAAATTAAAAAATATACATTATTACTTTTAGAAACATTACTCTTGTGTTACTCTGTAACCTGGCATTATAGAAACTATCTGCTGTGGCAAGTGGGATGAAGAAATAACAGTAACCAGGCAGATGTGCCTTTGACATCAAAAAATGTGAAAAATAGTCAAATGTCCTCATCAGCATTGTGTCTGTCTGTCTCCACCTTGTGGGCATTTTTACACTTGTTGCTTATTTTAATGAAATCTGAACATTTCATATAAAGTCATTAAAATACTTAAAATGCTGGTTTAGAAAGTTCCTTTCATAAAAGATGACCCAGTGTCCCCTCTGGTTAGTAATTAAATAATCAAGCACTGAAGTAGCTTAAGTCAGACAGCTCTTATTTTGGCTGACAGAAACTTTGGGGACATTCACTGAGTAACCTTTAAAACCGTTAAAAGCAAAACTGGCCAGCTGAGCACACTTCCTG